TTGAATTTTTTCGGTGTTATTTAGATACACCCTGTATAATTGATAATATTAGACTCATATCTATCATTAAAAGTGGAGTTGCAAAAATTGCAGGATAATCTTTCACCAAAATATTAGGAATTTGGTCATAGCCAGATGTCATTTGTTCTTTACCTTATTTATTCATGGTCTCAATAAATTTGGATAATTATTAACTTAAGCATGATTTTGCAGTTTCGACAAATCCTTTCCAAATTTGTAAATACTTCAATCTTCCGAACATGTTTGGAAGATGGCAAAAGGAATCTGCGTAGAGAAAAATATTATCTTGCATCAGAAATATGTACGTTTGACTTTTTTTGTCCCAAATCATCCCTTATTTCTCGCGAGTTTTCAGACTAAAACGCTGTGATTTTCCGTTCTTGCGTCTTTCGCTTGTGTTTCCATTATGCGCCAGTCGAATATATTGTTCTACATGTTCCGAAGGCCCTCGGTTTGGTCCAATAAAATTTTTATAATGATGAAGCCTATTCCCTGACATATTTAAAAACGTATTAAACCCGGACTGCATAATGGGAATTTTAAAAGTGGCAATAAATTACAATTTTAAGTATTAATATCGTAAATTTATGGATGCGCCAATAATACCGGGGACTGTCATCGTATTTTTAAATGCAGCACTGGCATTAAATGAGCAATGTTAATGTCGAATGCGCGGACGGATGCCCGTATAAAGAACAACGCTAATAGCGACATTGGCTGTAAAGTTTTAATGACTGCAGAGGGGCTCGTACTGTATACATTGTGTTGGGTTGTGCCCCGTTGTCGGCGGAAGGTTAGGTTTTGGGTCCGACAGCGCGTATTGCCAGTCTTATCCGTAATTACTCGTTTTACTGCAGACGGAACAAACTTTTATTTTTCAGCAATTAAGCGGATTGGGTGGTGGGCGACTTGGAGGTTTCCCTTGGCGTCTCGAAGAAGAACATACGACATCCAGGGGCATTTAAAACATTACTAATTGGCGATGATAACGTTCAATTAAAATAGTATTGGATTTTTGTAATGCTTTGCGAATTTTAATAAACGCCATAGAAGGAATGCACTTTATATCTGGAAAAGCTTTTGTACACTGAAAAAAAAAGATTAAAAACACTAAAAAAACACCTTTCCTTGGAAAATTTTCAATTTAAATCGATATTTACGTTGATGGTACAATATTAATAAGAGAATTTACATAAATATGTTTATGTACAACGCCCTAGAATTATGCTAGGTTTAATAAAAGACAATAAGAGTAAAGAAACGGAAATAAAATTCGTTTGTCGAGTAAAAGTGATAAAATTTTCAAAATATTTAGTGGTGTAGAATTTTTTGTATTTTTAGTGAAAACTACCGACATGCTGACTCTCATTTATATAATCTTTTCGGTTTACACTCAATCAAAGTTCTTTCTCTTAAAGTTTGTCGATGGTAATTAATTCACACTATGTATATAAAAATGCAATAAATTAGACTATTTTGAAACTGTAAAATTTCTTTTAAAGAAAATAATCACGCGCTTTATAAAATGTAAATTCTGCTATTGGCATGATGATGATATGTCCGACATTCGAAACTCACCCAAAAAATCAGCATCTTTGAAATATGCAAAGCAACCGAGTCGGCCACGCAAAAAAAAACAAATGATACACTATCGCGTCGTGAATTTAAATTCCAAGGCCTACTCTAATTCGACATGAACTATTCGCCTCACGCATGGCCTATTACTAGTTAATAGATCGCACAGAGGAATTCGCTACGCCCCTGTGTCCCGATATCTTATGCATGCAACAATCAGAAACGGCGAAATTATAAGCCACTTATGCAGTCTCGAAGTCAGGTGGTATACCAGAAAACGCTCCTCGCTCCTCGATCTGAATACGGCTAGCGTGGAACGTGAGCTGAGGCTATGCGAATTGTCACAATAATTGCACACACTGAAAGATATGGGCTTATTAAACTGTTTCTCTAGAATTATGTGTATTTTAGAACAAATGTACATTATAGGCTAGAAGCCTGATTCAAAATTCAGTACAAAGAATTTAGGGGCGTATTTTTGAGGTCAAAACAAGACTTTTTCTTCCTATACCAGAAAACGCTCCTCGCTCCTCGATCTGAATACGGCTAGCGTGGAACGTGAGCTGAGGCTATGCGAATTGTCACAATAATTGCACACACAGAAAGATATGGGCTTATTAAACTGTTTCTCTAGAATTATGTGTATTTTAGAACAAATGTACATTATAGGCTAGAAGCCTGATTCAAAATTCAGTACAAAGAATTTAGGGGCGTATTTTTGAGGTCAAAACAAGACTTTTTCTTCCTATGAACGTGGGTCCATAAATGCTTTGTTTTCGATATAGGATGTTAAAGTTTTTTATTTATTTTGATTTTTTAGGAATAATTTCCAAACAGATTTGAATGCTTGAATCCGCTTCGACGGAAAATTACCACGTGATGTAGCATAACCTTAAATATAGCGAAACGCACTACATACTTTTAGGTTAGATATCTCAAAAATCTGATGAAATTGAGCAATTCTGGGATGGATTCGGATTCAGCGGTTAAAGTATAAGTTTCTGGTTTAAAAGGTCAGACACATTCTGTCGGACTATGTTATAGACCGCATAATTTAAGTAAAAATGCATTAAAAATTTATGTTTACGTTTGTTTTTTATAATTCCCTTCTTCATTGATGTTGGATGTTTCAATGTCGTTTGTTTACAATTACAATAATTACAATTGCAAAGTAGTCACAGATGCATATTAAACGCAATTGTTTATAATTGGGACCTACAGACAACCTCCGTTTTTTATAGCTACAAAGTGTAATTTACCTAATAACAAAAACGTATAACGAATACACAGGGTGTTTATAAAAGTAAGGTTTTAGCGTATTAAAATTGTCATTATCAATTTCTATCGCAAAAACGTTAGATCTTATAAAAAACAGGTATTTTTTATTTACAATACCTAATAGTTTTAAATGATTGTTTTTTTGCCATTCCGCAAGGTTAAAAATATCCTGAACAAAGAATCATGATCGGAGTATCCAAATTCCGAACAAGATGTTGGCAATGTTCCTTGCTGGTGAATTGTTTCTGATGCGAGTTCAATTTTTTCACGTAATTCCTGCTCAACCATCTGGTTTGTACACCGAAGATTTCATATGCTCCCACAGGTAGAAATCGTATATTGAATCGATTATTTGAAAATCTATGTTAGAAATTCGACCGGATTCGGTTGGGATTCTTCATGGACCATTTGTTTTCTTGAAAGTTGTTTACTTTATCCTGTGTTGTGTTGCTTCGTCGATTACAATCACACATATAGTGAAATTTTCTCATAAAAACGAACCTTGGAAGGATGATCTTCTGATTGCAATGCTTGTAAACGAGGAGTGTTATATGGATGTACTTGGTATTAGTGTAGAATTTTCTATTTTTTTTTTAAATTAGTCAGACATAATTGTCTGCTCCTAGTCGTTGGTTGTTCCTTGACAGTGTCAATAATTTCTTCCTCAACTTGTGATACGTGATTTGGTCGAGCTCACCATTCATGTCTTCCATCTTGTGGCTGTCCATTATTACGAGCTCGCTGAACGAAGTAAGTAAAACTTTGTGGTCTGGAATGTATCCTATTAGGATACAGTTTCTGACCAATGATGTATAAGATGTATGGTCACACAGAGATTCGTTATTGTACACTCCTATGGGATTGCAACGTTATGGATAATGGGTTTACGGGGCTATGGGGTTAGAGGTAATGAACTTATGGGGTTGTGAGGTTAAGGAGTGAAATGAGACATGAATTTGAATGTATTTCCATTAACTGAGTACAAAGTTTGAAATCTGGAAAACCGCTTTCTAGAAGAGTGTCTTGATCTAAGGTCAAAAACGTACTGAACCGGCAATTCTAATTCAGCTGTTTAAAGTGCTATGGGATGCACTAGTTTGGCTCATGGCCCTGACAACTTTTCTTTGTGGCGCTCTGAAATTATATTAATAATTATAAAACTTTTACTATAGTAAGTTTTTGTTAAAATCATTATTTTGGCATCACCTGTAACAGCTAAAATTAAAATCCTACTTTAGAAAACCTACTGTGCAGTCGTTATATGTTTTTAGTTTTAGATACAATTACAGTTTTTCTGCGTCGATGAAAATGGATGTCCTATGACCTAATGATAAAAAAGATTCTCCTAAAATTAAAATTGCAACAAAAAAAAACAGAAATAATCTTATAGTGTGTGACAAAAATCTGTGTAAAAAATTTGAGAAATAGTGTACTTACCGTGATACTGGAACTTGTAACAGAAATACTAATCCGTTTTATTTAATTAATTTAATGAAATGAGAAATATATACTTTGGCCCATTTAAGTAAAAAAAATACGGTACATTTTAACTTTTAATTTTGTTTTAATTAAATAAAATCTAAATATTGTCATATTAATAGTATGTATTAGTTTTAATATATATTTTTTAATTTTGGTCATTCTATTTTCTTTTTTCAATACTGTTCATCAATCTTTGTCGATTTGTACCTGCCAACTTCTCTCATCGTAAATTGAAAATGTTGTACTATAATTAAAGAGTTTACTGAAGTTATTCATATTAGGCAGGACACATCGTGTTAGAAAAATATAATATTTTCTCGGTAAATTTTCCGGCGTTTCTTACTACGAGCGAGAACGGTGCAATACCGGAAAACTAACTGTCATACTAGAAAGGAAACAAACACAGAAGCAACTGAACTGCATGATCAGCGCTGGAATTAGTATCTGTTAGTTGGCGTGTGATTTGCAAGGGAGAACACTTCAGTCTGACATATAATATAGGAAATAAAAAGTGCCACCTACCTATTTTTTGCTTACTGTCCCCCTAGAAACAGAAAACCGTTTGCCAATCAAACTGAAAAAAGGAAAGGCCCACCCAATTTTCCAAATGAAACACGGGGATGTATACTTAATAATTTCGTTTATTTTCAATTTTGAACTGTTAACATGTACATCACACATAGTCCTTACCTAAATCTATACGTCACGTGAAATGACTTAATTGATTTTTTGGTGCACAGAAAATTTTGATATATCAGGCCGGTGGTCTGTACAATATGCGGGAATATATCAAAATTCTCACAACGTTACTTTATCATATAAATATTGAAGTTAAATTAACTAGTAGCTTTAAATAAACATCTACTCTAGACAACACTTGAAATAATGGCACATACTATTATGCTAAAATCAACCATCTGACAGAATACCAGATTTCCATCACTGAAACATGGATCAGTTCCTTGAGGTGTGCCCCTTCAGAAAAACTTTCTACTTCTTTCATTCTCTCCAGCTTATACGTCACACCAAACAAAATCAATTGTTGCGTCCGAGAACCACCTCGGAACAAACCTGGTTGTTCCGCGAACAATACAGGATTTGTTCCTAGGTTGTTCCTGGGCGGAAAAGACATAAGTGAACGATTCTTCCCCTTTGTGCTATCTATCTAAATAATTTTTGTTTAACAGTGACGTAAAACTAGGAAATAACTAAGAACAAATAAGTCGTAGACGATATTTGATACTGTCGCCTGCCTAACAATTAATTTAAATATTCACCTAGACGGTTAAACGATATATTTACATCTAGAAAAGCTAACTTATGAATTACAGCTAGATATCGATATGTGCACTTTATCGGGTGCTATAATACTTTATACAAATACAACGCGTGTGTCTTACCACAAAGAATTATACAAAAGTCGCTATCTATGTGCCAATTGAACATACTGAACGCACCAACTTTATACAGGAGCTTAGAGATCAAGGGCTCGCACTAAGAAACCGGCCCTTCCACCGCACACGCAGGGAAGATCGACCCGCGCCGCCCACACTAAGCTAGGCTAAAGAATTTACACTCAAGGCGTTTTGGAAACGGTATTTATACAACGGTGGCACCGGTCGACCTTCCCGCGCTGCTCTCGGCGGGATATTTACAAAGTTGGATCACGTGACCAAAGATCCTAACACTTCTGCGTGGCGGCTAGGTACATGTAATATTGGGCTAGCGACAGCAAGTACACCATGTTGCTATTTGTACCTTTTTCGTAGTTGATCTGCCGCTCCTGCTGCCTGGCGTTGTCGGCGGCGACCTTGAGCAGCCCCTGGATGTTCCTCAGAAGCGTCTCCGTGGAGGAGATGCTCGGGTCCTGGCTGGGGCCGTTCGCGGAGGCCACCGCGCTGGCCAGGGTCGAGTAGTTGAGGGCCGCCTGCTGGGAGTCGCTTCCCGGGGCAGCGGGCAGGGGCAGGTCGCCATCGTCCATGTCTGCAAGTAATAGAAAATCGTTAATTGTATCCGCTAGCACCGAAGTTGCATTGTTCAAGTTTCTCCAATGGCCGTTTCATTCGAAAACGACAAAGATACCATTTTTTGGCAGCAGAATGTAGGTATTATTGCTTCTGTACATCAATGAACATTTTTGATACGGTTGTTGTTAATATTGTGTTGGAAATTTTGTAAAATTATGATAACGAGTTATACATATAATTTTCTAAAATAGTCGAGTCACTGAAGCATTTTGGCTACCAATTTTTTCGGATGGAATGGATTGACGTGAAATTTGAATTGTAGCTAGAGAATAGTCCAAGAAACAAAAGTTATATAGTGCCGATGTGTGCTTTTCCCCAAGGGGTGGATGCCACCCCTGCTGGAGGGTGGAACTTTTTTATTAAAAATAACCTCACGATTCGATAGAAGGACGAATTATAAGCAAGAAATGATCTATAATAATTTTTTGTACAATCCATACTTTTTGAGTTATTTGCGCCTAAATATGTTCGTTTTTAGCCCAAAAATGCATGTTTTTGAGCCATTTTTCGCGAATGTCTCAAAAACTACAAGTTTTATAAAAAAATTAATCATAAGCAAAAATGAAGGTAATTAAATATCAAACAGATTGCTTCTTTTATTTTTGTAAGTGGTATAGAACCCGAGTTATGACTGCCAGAAGTTAAAGTCAATTTCGAACATAGCTATAATCGAAAAGTTCAACGTCCTGTAGCGGAAAAATTAAAGGTTTTTCGAGGAAAACTTATAACGAGCGTTCAAATAAAAACGTGGTCAAGTTGGTTCTGAAAATTTGGACGTAGGGCGTAGCGTATAGCAAATGAACTTAAACGTCATCTGTCAAAGCGCTATATCGCCGCTATCAATTTGAATATTTTCGTTTTAAAAAGCGTTTAAAATGGTGTTTTCTCAAGAACAAAAAGAGTTTATCATAGTGTCCTTCTTTAGAAATGGACGCAAGATTGATGGAATATGGAAGTATTCTATTGAGGGATGTTTCATAGAATTTCAAAATCAATTTCCCGGCGTTGTTGAGTACAAAATTTTTCAAAGTGCAGTTCAGCGTTGTGTTAATGTTTTTCGTGAAACGGGCAGTGTAACAAGAAAAGAAGGAAGCGGCCGACCTAAAAAGCGAACTGAAGAATTAAAAGAAAATGTCCAACAAATAATGGAAAAGAACTTCTGTACGTGTTTTATCACAAATGGTGGGAGTATCACTCGGTACCTGCCACACAGTGTTAAAAAAAGATTTGCGTTTGTTCTCCTATCGTTTAACTTGTCAGCAAGAACTTCATGAAGTTGATTTTCCGCGACGGGCTGTATTTTGTGAATGGTTTTTAAACAACTACGGTGAACTTCATAATATCACCTTTTTTTCTGATGAAGCCTGGTTTCATTTAAGTGGTTACGTAAACTCACAGAATATGAGAATGTGGTCTTCTGAAAAACCAGATAACTTTTTTGTCGAGGGCCCTCTACACGCTCAAAAAATTGGAGTTTGTGTGCTCTCAATCGAAGGAGGATTTATGGACCTATTTTTTTAATGGTACTCTTACTGCGCAAAGGTAAGTATAGAGAAGAAATTATCGCTCCTTTTATTAACCAGCTGGAAGAAAACGAAACTACAAACTTTTACATTCAACAAGATGGCGCAAGGGCACATACGGCAGGCGAGACGATGAATATGTTGAGGGAGGTTTTCCAAAATCGACTAATAAGTCTCAATGCTGAACATGAATTTCCACCGAGGTCATGTGATATTACGCCGTGTGATTTCTTTTTGTGGCCTTACCTTAAAAAACACTATTTTTGAACTGCCTATTCCTGATTTAAACCATCTGCAGGCTCGACTTATAGACAAGATTCGTGAAATTAACAATACCCCGAGCATCTTAGAAAATGTCTTTAATTCTTTGAGGAACAGGTGTGAAAAGTGCTTGGAATAAGGAGGGGGACACTTTCAGCAGCTGCTTTAATTTATTGTTATAACAAGCAGGGGGACACTTTTATTGTTATCACGATTATTCTTTAAAATAAAGTTATATAGTCATTAACGTTATTGAAACTGACAGCTGCTATACAGCTCGTTGAGAAATGAGTTGGTCGCTATAAGCTACTCCCTACGTCCAATGTGTCAGAGCCAACTTCGACCACGTTTTTATTTGAACGCTCGTTATATTATTTGCTCAAATTACTCTGTTGTATTGTTACTAAATTAAGCAATTATTTTTATAAACCATTACTTTTCTCGGTGTGTAATATGGATTGGAACAAACCGTAGAACGACAACCAAATAATTCAACCCCCCAAGCATGCGTGAAGGTGTTGCCATGTTAGCAACGGGTGGCAAAGTACCATACCATCTAATTCGTCAGACCGTGAAAAAAATTAAAAGAGGAAATGTTAATGTTACTCAAAGGCCGGCTAGAAGATATACGACCGACTGACATGCTCTTTTGACGTCTCTCTTCACTTTCCGCAGGCCTGGTAACGTTGGAGGAGATGCAGAACCTCCCGGGTAGCCTAATAGTGCAAACATTTCACGTAACGGATATTTATATAGGATCAGTAACCATACTGTTAAGTTAGTACTCCTATAATGGTTATTAATATTATTACAGAGTTGTATGCAGCCTCTAAGTACCACTTTGAACGGGTTATATCCACGAGATGTTCATGATCAGCGTAGGGAATCACTTAGAACCTCGCACCATAAACTTACGAACTATATGTGTTCTATTTATCCATTTTTTTCTTCCTCTTGCACAATCGGAGTGCAAGGAAGATCTTGCTAGCAAACTCACATTTTAAAATCAATTTGATGATCTACTATCGATTAAATATATCGCCGAGGAAATATTATATTATCAAGGTTTGAAATAAAATCCTTGGAAACAAATGAAAGACAATTGTAAAATTGTAACAAGTAGACATAATCAACAGAATCTGATGGAAACATCAATCAAGCAACAGTTTTTGCATACATTTTGATGAAGATTAGTAAAACGATATCTAGAAAATGGCATTTTCATCAAGAAGCTTTCAAGAAATTTGGGTTAATTGAATATCGAACGTTGAGCCTTATACAAAGTAACAACGCAGTAGTAGTTGCATATTAAAAACTAGGTTTTATTGGAAATAGTCTGTTACAACTTACTAATAACCAGTTTCCAACTATTCGAATCGGGATTTTAAGGCCAAAATCGTGCATATTTATTTATGAGATCCTTTGCAAATTCACTGCGATGTAAATCAAATCGTTACAAAACATTGACATCATGAACATTGCTTATGAAAAGAAGGTACCTTGAAACTAGCCAATTATCTTTAGACTTGTTTTGAAACACTTAAACTATCAGTTAAGGTATCGCGAATCAGGGCAAGTATATTTAAATTCTAAGTGTCAGTTTCGTGTTTAGAAAGGCGACCGATTATTGAAATAACTTATTATAGGAGAAAGAGTTCATTTTGTATCCTTCAAAGTGTTTAACCAAACATGGATGATAAAAATATATTACAATTTAGTGACACTAATGAACTGTTTAAAACAGAAAAAAAAAAGTTAAATTACAGGATATTAGGCAGCAGCTGCAAATGTAACAAGAAAAATGTAAATGTAACAAGTAAGACGTAAATGTAACAATTAATGTTAATATATTTATAGAAAACAAAACTAATTCCTCCCCATTACATTACAGAAATAAAGAATCTAGTTGTTCGGTAAAGCTTGTTTTAATTTACATCGTGATATATTCTCGACGAGCAATCAGAAAAATTCTCTGCGTTTTTTTAATTACCAGACTAATGTTCCCCAAAGGTCAGATGGGGCCTACGGATCATTAATAATTGATACCTGACACTTAGGAAGGAGCATCAGCGCTTTAATTTATGACCAGGTTACGGTTGAAAAGGGGAAATGGTCTCGATAAGTCTTCTGCTGTCCCGTGGAATTCGAATTACCACTCGATAAACAACAAAAATTAACGAGGCTACAGTTTTATTCTAATTATACTTTTACATCTTGAAAAACTAAATAAACGATTGAATAAATGAATTGCACTTTTCCAGTTTTCTATCAGTTAATTTTTTAAAAGTAATAGTATGTTCCCAATGATATTACAATGAAAATATTTTTATTATTTTTAACTGCACTTAAACTCTTGTCTACACCATCACTGGGCAATTCTTGAACTTTACCGTAAAAATGGATTCGTTCTGTATGACATTGCGACAGGTTACTTTAAAGTCATCATAATTTTTATGTTAATATGAAAGCATTACTATTTTCTAAAGTATGGTGTTTCGTTTGTGAATTTCAATGACATCTGACATTAATCTAGTATAAGTAAACTACATAATATCAATCCATCTGATGAGATACGACAATGGGGCGCTTTTCAAGCAAAAAACAAACTGCCAACGTTAATTCAGAGAAATGAGAATGACTGAATATGATGTGAAGCTAGTTCTGTATGAAAATATGTTTAATGCCATGCAATCTGCTTTGACTAATAGTTTCGCAGCAGCACGTGCGTGATCGTTGTTTTCAGGATTGAAATACGTCAGCCGGGAACGGAAACAAAAAAACAAACGGCCAACGTTAACTTGTAAAATGTGTTTCAAACCGTCAAAGGCAGCCTTGGATAAAATTAAACCAGATACTCTTTGTGGACAAAGTTAAGTTCTGTTCTTACCCTGATCCTTTTCGTCCTCCTCTTCAGGATCCGATATATTGTCGTCGTCCTCGTCTTCGGCAGCCGAGCGGGGGGACCTGGGGGACGGAGGTACGTCGGGCCCGTCCGCCTCGCTACCAGAATGGTCGCCGTCTCCAAGGGAGCCGGCGCTACCACCTCCGCTTTTGGACAGATTTAACACCGGACTGTGCTCTGTTGGCGAACCTGCAACAAGGAAAAAACAGTTGAGGATCGTCGCTGAAGGTAAACGTTGAAAAGCAGAAAAAATGAGATAAAGAAATGATGTAGGTCTTTCAAATTATTGGATACATTTTATCAATTTAACATAAAACGTGTTTATTCCAAATAAAACACTTTATTTGCTATAAAATGTGTAAAAACAACTTTCGAAGATAAAAATGTTTTTTTTTTAATTTTCAACCAGTTTTCCTTAAAATTATTTATGAGTTTGTTACCTATTCCTGTGGTCAGTATGATAAATGACTAATTGAAATAAATACCTATATTTTTTATATACAGGGGGTCTCAAAAAGGCTCAAACCCCCTGATAACTTTTCAGGAGCAAGTCCCATAAAAAAGTTTCAGATAAATGTTCTAGGAGATCAAGAAACCAATACGCTGGTTATCCTGAATTTGACCTTCACCTTAGTTTCAAGGTCAAATCAAGGTCAGCTTAAAAATTTTAAACGGAAATGCCTACTTTTTATAACAGAAATTGATAGAACGTCAAATTTTACGAACGAATGTGGGATTGGAATTTTTCTAGTATGCTTTTAGAGGTCATTGGGAGGTCAAACCCATTTTTCTCTGAATAACTCGACAAAAATCGGATTCCGACGTAAAATTTGATGCTATAAAAATAGAAATGTTTCAATTAATATTTTCAAGATGACCTTAGTTCGACCTTGAAACTTAAGGACAGGATCGAATCCCCAGCATATTAACTTCTCGTTATACTATAACTGTTATCTGAAAAATTTTTTGATAGGACAATCCTGGAAAGATACCAGGGGATGCAAGTCTTTTGAGAACATTCTACATAAACCAATTAAAAGAAATCTGAGTTTATATTTGTTAATATTGCTACTGTTACAATGTTCCAGCTGGTACTTGAGTTTTTTTATTTTGTAACATAACAAGATGCCATGGTACTATTAATATCTAATGAGAGATATATCTAGATACTACGTTTACTATATAATACAGTGACATCTATATGGAAAGGACTCCGCACAAACCTTATGGAAATCGATCCCCGTTGGATCTCTCTCAAATGTTGGGAATGAACTCTTTAGAACATCCTGATCAAAAGTTCATGGGCACAAAACCCGGAAACCGCTCCCAACACCCCAAAATCACCCCCAAAGGTCAGGGGCTCATTATACCACACCAAAAAAAAGTATCAAACCCACACATGCAATAAATGGTTTCCGGTGTATTTTTGAGCGCTGGATACGAATACGTCATCATTTTTGCTCTAGCACGTATCAGTCTTCAGCAAATCGCTGAAGAAGCTTCAGAAAACTGAAGATAGAACATGTGATTCACAGGCGATATGTGGTTACCGGTGTATTTTTGCACGCTGAGCACGAGGTTAATTACCTTAAGCCTTCAACTAATCGCTGAAGAAGCTTCAGTATACTGAAGAAAGAACACCGTGGTTCTTCAGTGGTGTGTACATATCGCATGTGAATTACATAACACAAAGTTCTTTCTTCAGTTTTTGAAGCTTCTTCAGTTATTAGTTGAAGACTTAAGGTAACTAAAGCACATTTGACATCACATTTGTGTCCAGCGCTCAAAAATACACGGGAAACCATATATTGCATGTGTTGGTCTGATACTTTTTTTGGTGGTGTGGTATAATTATCCCCTGACCTTTGGGGGGTTGGGAACGGTTTCCCGGTTTTGTGCCCATAAGAACTTTTGATCAGGATGCTCTGAAGAGTTCATTCCCAAAATTTGAGAGAGATCCACCGGGGATCCATTTCCATAAGGTTTGTGCGGGGTCATTTGGAACACTAGTAATGTTCCAAATTTCATTTTCTCAGCAGTTATTTGAAAAATAACCTTTTTGGGCCCTTTCTAGCGGCTAGAAACAACATAGTATAGAATCAAGTTTAGTTAAATCTGTTTATTTCGATAGAAGAAAATTTATGATAGTAAAATTTATATAATGTCTGCTTATTTTTCAATATGTAATTACACTGAATATCTCCTATCCCTTAATTGGAGTAAGTCTGGGTAGCGTATTCATCTAAATAAATAAATTAATTAATAATAAGAAAAATATGTCCAAAAGAGTGTGCTAATACCATGTCGAAACTTTCGAAATTGTTTCTCTAGGTACAGTTTTGAAGTTACAAAACATTTCCTACAACTTTGCTCCATATAATTTTTTTTTCCTTTTAAATACGGAAATATAAAATATGAGGGGCGAGGGTAGAATGTTACATAATATTCCGTAGATTGATTTTAATTGTTTTCAGATCTCATTAAGTACAAGACATCAATGAAACCTAAAATGAAGCCTGTTTTTGGGACCAACCGGTGTTCGCGGTTGTAAGCGAAACCGAAACTATGTCGTAAAGATCGCAAAAAAGCCTAATCAAACGAGTGTCGGCCAGTTAACCGAGCATAATAAAAAGGAAATAAAACAAGCGCCGGAATCGTCCCGCGGGGGTGAATTTACAGTAATATAAAAGCGAGTAATTGCCCGCCTGTTTTCGTCCACTTTCCCGCTAATAAATCCGGGAGGGTTCATCCAGATTGATGCGGTCGGGCATTCCGATTTATTTCCGAGACTTAGTCCGGTCTCCGTTTCTGCATATGCCGGTTTAAAAGCGGCGGCCCCCGCCGTCGGTGATTTATCGCCCGATAGATTGGTTCGCGTCGCGTCCGGCTCCGAATCCGCATTTACTGCCATTAATTAAATTCGTCGACACGATAGTTAACTTTTTATTTGGGCCGGAAGGGGGCGCAGCGTCGGTGTAATGAAATCGTCGACGTGGCACGCGGGACAACTATAAACCCGGCGGACGGTGCCATATTGGGCGGTAGTCATTGTTGCAGGTAGAATTCCTGCGATTGCATTCACAAATTGTGGTACCTACTAAATTTGAAAAATGTTGACAAGATCAGTGTAAGGGTTAGAAATACGCATAAGAAAAATATATGGTGGACGAAGATATTTCCATAAGCCCCATTGTTACAGTTGCAACAGATTTTTGGTGTTGAATTCGACAAATGTATTATTTTTCTTTTTACGGAGAGTTTCAAAAAGACCTCCGGTAAATACAGGGGGTGATAGTACGATAAAAAATAAGAATTTTTTGTCCTATGAACTATGTGTCGAAATACAGATACAGAGCGACAAATTAAAAATTTTTAAATAGAATTTTTACGAAAATTTCCAAACAGTGCGATATTTTTATATAATTTGGTATTCCGGGATTTTTCCAAATACATTGGTCTAATTATTTTTTGTATATTTCATAGAGGGCGCTATTTATGCTACATTCGTATTATATCTTAAGTCCTAATTTTTTCAAGGTTGGATTTTTTACCATTCGGGCTCCGATTTCTAATCTACAATTTTATTTTCTAAAAATAATGTACTCTAGATAAAACTTCCTAATGTGGACGGTTTTCGAGAAAAAAAGGCTTTAAGGATGTTCGATACATCTCTTTCGGGGCAGGCGGTGCGGGAGGGAAGCCTATGCTTATACACGGTAGTTTCGTTATAGTACCAACCTTACATAAATTAATTTGAGTGAACTAAATATAATATATACGAATGAAATTTATACAACACATATTAGCTTGCATATATTTTTCGTGTTTAATGCACGGCAACTAACTTTATATTTGAATAAAAGTGTCTATTTATTCATTAAGAGCTTGTAAAATGATGGATGAAATCTGGCAACATTGTTATGGCGTGGTGGTAAAAGTTGGGTCAACTGTCATTACTGTCAACTTTGCGCTTATTCCGTAAACATGAATGAACATCTAAAAAGGAAAAGTAATGACTGAAAAGTAATATAAAATGCGTATGAAACAGAATGTGGGTTGATGAGAAAAAAGTAAAATGTGCAAACCGAGAATCCATATGATAACTATCGAGAAGTTCAGTGAGACGTCGCCTTGTCAAATTGAAGATTATGACAGAACATCTATACTGTTCGTTTTGCAAAGAGATCCTTTCAATTTTTATTTCAAATTGCTATTATATTGCATTAGATCACGAAAAATGTATTTAATATTAATTATTACTACATATGTTTCGACTGGAATAATTTTATAGTCTATAATCGAGCTATTCAAATATAGTGCGTCAGTCAAAGCGTTAAATACAGCGTACAGTGTTGCCATATTTCCTTTCATTGGATCAAATGTTTGTTCAAATTTGTCAAAACGCTATATATTCATTCCCATTATCTCAATAATTACATTGTAAGTGCATATTTTTATTGTTTTAAAATGTTTAGTAATATTTAATTCTGTAATTACAATTTTATTTTCCCCATCCTAACCATTTTTAAGAGCAATATTCACGTTTGATTAAAGCTTTTGCCCCAACTCCCATAAGAGCCTGTGTATAAGAGCATAATTTTTAATATCATTTTTCAAAAAAACTACATTGGCAATCGATCTGATATTTTTACACGAGACAGTTTGCATATTTATTAACAGATTTCAATTGCTTTGAAAACTTTCTTACCATTTTTTTTTTCGGTATCGAACGTCCTTAAATTGAACTCTTACAATATTTCGGTATAAAATAAATGACTTTTCTCAAAGTAGGCTTATGTTAAAACTTATTGATGGATGTCTCATAAACAACGCATAGTGCATTCTTAGTAATATTTTAAACTCTGCTGAACAGTATCTAAGAAGTTACAAAAATTTTGACTGTGAAAGAAAACCGCACTGAAATTGTTCCATGAATTATAAGTACACATATAAGTAACTAGATACCATCTTCTTAACATTTATTTAAGTTGGACAGAAGACACTTCAAATTTCGAGCCCTGGGGATGGTGTAAAATAACACCGAAACGTTGGCAATGATTTAAAATATAGTGTTCTTTTATTTATTGATCTTTATCCCACTAAAACCTTGACTTGGATAACTAATCAAGATCGCAAAACAGTGGAAACGTAATTAAAAAAATTTATTTTGTCTCTCTGTATCTCAAAAACAAGAGGAGATAGACATATAGTTCATAAGACAAAAAATTCTTATTCTTTGTCGTACTATCACCCCCTGTACTTACGGGAGGTCTTCCTGAAACACCCTGTATATTTATGAAATAAACCCTTGCGTCAAAAGAATCAGAATATTCTATGGAAATAGTTTTGCCCAACCAAAAATCTCAGATTGAAAAAGCAAACAAATGCAAAATACAGAATATATCACTATACATCGCGTACTTCAAAAAGTTTTTGACATTTCGAAAATGTTTTCGTTTTCTGAACTTCAAAACTTCAAAAATAATTAAAAACGAAAAATCGTGTTCCCAATTGTATTTATAAATTTTGGTCCTGAAATTGAAACATTTTGAGGCCAGATGGGTTTGTAAGGGTTGGAATAAATTAAACAAAAAATACTTGACAGAAAAAGACATTTCTATTTAGTTACAGTTGAAACTGTATTTACCTATTTTGGTGATGATGATGAAAGTAGTAGTAAGGAGAGTATTAACTCAAAAAAACTTATTTATTTTATTATTCAGTCGAAATTTGCAGATTATATTCAGGAATTATGGTTTTCATTTTGAAAGGTATTTTGACTAAATTACTTTATATGACATAAAAACAAGAATAATTAAAAAAATATACATATCCATTCATTGTAGTCGCAATTGGAATTCTTATACTTGTATTGACATGTATACCAAATTGAAAAATTTTGCCACCGGATCAGTGTAACAGTTAGAAAGAAAAGTAAGCAAAATATTTAAATGAAGAGGATAGCAGTTTCTGCAATAGATGTTGGTATAGAATTTGAAAAATTGTGCTACCGGATAAGTTTGTAGGGATTGAAGAAGAGAATAAGCAAAATATTTGGATGAAACATTTATTATTCAATTGCAATTCCTGCTATTGTTTCCATGGATTATGGTACTAAATTTGAAAACAATTTCGACCAAATGATTTAGTTGTGCTATAGTAATTGATAAATTAAAATAAGTAGATACTAAACAAATCTTAAGAACGAATATGTTTCTGTACCTAAACCCCAAAAAATTAGATTCGCTAAAAGTCAAAAAAAAGTTTTGACAAAAATTAAGGATTTTTTTAGTAATATTGTCAATAAATTTGGCTTTCAGTAAAAAGAATGAGATGAGCGAACTACGACTGATTACAAAAACCACTGCAAATAAATCTTTTTCACGTCATTCCAGCAAACATCCAGTTACTAACCTTTACTAGCGCACCAACTCCACGCATTTTTGAAATTCTTAAATCTCCAATCTGCAAATTAATACAAAATTGCACATTTAGACGTTTTTCTCTAACAGTGGTCCGATATGAAGCGAAAAATCTGAGAAATGCCTACAAACATGCACATATTTTAATTGCCAGCGCTTTAATTTTTCCTTTTAACTTTATCAGAATTTAAGCTGAAATACTGACGCAAATACGCCGCGAGAGAATCAGAAGTGGGATAATTTGAACAGAAGGAAGTAAAATAAAACGTATAAGCATGTTTTCATGTAGTATTCTATAGAATGTTTATCTTACCGTTTCTAGGACTAAGGTCTCTAGGTTTCTGTTCTAAGGGAAGGGGTCTGTCGGGATCACATCTTTCTTCTCGTAACCTGAAACAAAAACAGCATAATTAGTATTGCGGTTGAGATCCAAGTTGTAGTTTAGTAATAAAAGATAAAAAATAACTTGAACTAGGAACACTTTCTATGTATAAATTTTAATTTAGTTATATTGAAATTTTATGGCGCCGCATCTAGACCGCGGAAGAAAATCCAACTAACTGGGGACGCAGGGGGAAAATCGCCAAGTTCATTAATAATTATTTAAGTTTCTTTAGCAAGTCGGCTAATGAAAGTAGGTAATGGAGAGGGAGATTCGGTTCCCAGTCATCAAATATCGCATTAACAGACGCAGAGGTTTAACTCAAGCCAGCAAGGCACCCCTACTGGGCTAAAACCTGGGGTACCACCCTCACGAAATCCGCCGATGCTCTAATTATAACAGATGTATTTTTCTAATTGTGGTCCTTAATGCGATGCAAATATAGTTCCTTTTTCATTTTTCATGGCATATTTGCATACATTTTTATAATAATAGTAATAATAATAAAATATTCTTTTGTCCCTATAAACAATAAGGTTAAAATATTACACAAGAGCAAAAGGTTCAGCGCCTTGACTTAGATAATATTACACATAAAAAATATGGTATAATAAAAACACATAGACAATTTTCATGACAGAAATTTTCATAAAAAAATAGAAAATTTTAATTTATGGCAATGTGACAATAAATGATGGTTTGGACAAGACAACTTTAAACCACATTTCGCTTTTTTGAATTATTTCAGTTTTAAAACTGTTTAAAATTAAGTCTAAACTCCCTTCCTCCTACAAATAGTGCAATTACTACCTATTTTAACTTCAAGTTTTAGTCCTACTTGAGTACGCAACTTTTCAAGTATCAAAACAGATAATTTTGTAGAATCTAAAACCGATGGTACACTTTAGATGAATGTCGGTTTCTACAAATTGAAACCCATCTGATAAATAAATAAGAATAAACGGAATATTATTCTCTAAAAATCCAATCAAATGTAAAATTGACAATAAAACTTCATGATTAATGGTATCGGATGCCCTTGGAAAATCTAATAACATTAAAGCCTTGGTCTCACCTCCATCAGAAACTCTAATTATACCAACTATTGCAAAGCTATAACCAGATCTAAATCCAGGTAGTTTCTCGTTTGAAAATGCATTATTCTTTCAAGCATTTTAGATAATAATGGTATAATTTTATAAGACACAACGTCTTTCTTTTTTTGGCAAAGATGTTACACAAGAAATTTTAAAAATGTTAGGAATTCTAGCAACAAGAGTATATGAATTTATGTTTGTAAAAAAATTGAAAATCCAAATAATGTATATCTATCAAAAGTAGTTTAGAAATGGTAAAAATATGCTTGTTAATAATACACATAATACTAGTGACATTAAAATTAGTTGTTTCTTGACTGCCAGTTTTGCGTGTTTCTTAGTGTTAAAATAGCTAATCGGGTCATACATATGGTGCATAGTGAAGAAAAAACAAGTAAATCTGCTTCATACGCAAAAAATCAGGATCTAATACAACAAAATCATTAAGATTGAAATTTACATGAATCAGTCTCTTTATATATTTTTACGTGAATAAAGGGTGTTAGGCCTTTGGGAGGTTTCCCTTACTCCTTGAAACGATAGAAAAAAAGTAGTTTATATGTCACGGATTTTCCAAAAAAATTGGCGAAAACCACATTTCGATATTAACTGAAGTAATACAAAGCTTTTTTCAATTCTGCTCATTTTCGATGATGCTCTATAACTTTTTTGTCTGTGATAATATGTGGTTTTTGAAATTATGTTTTTTACATAGAATTTTACGTAAAATCCAGCGGCGTACCCAATATTTTTCCATGACTTAAGGAAATTCCAAATTTAAACAGACATTTTTTTAAATTTTTTCCATAATATTTTATCTGTGGGGTTAGATATCTTTTGCATACATAAACATTTGGTACACTATAAAAAAATCGGTGTGAGTGAAAGCAATAAAGGTTCAGAGTGAATCTGTTGAGTGAAATTATTGAGTACATTTTCTGGCCTTGGCCAGCGGCGGCGGGTCTCAGCTAGCGGGTCTCAGCCAGGAAATGAATTAATTTCAAGACTGTATATCCTAATTAATCATGACTGAAACTTTATGAGTGACTTATTTTTCCACTCAATATTTAGTAAATTAAAAACCAAGTCAGAGTAAAAAATGACTCAATAGTTAAATTTAAATCATATTAGAGAAAAAGTCAACTCTAAATTGGTTTTATATACTCCTCAGAATAGAGTCAAAAGTCACTCAATTGATAGTTGGGAGTAACTCGGATTTGAGTAAAACTCACTCATTTCTGATCCAATAGTTTCACTCAGTTGTACTCATACTAATAGAGTGAAAATTTAACTTAATCGCGTGAGGACAGAAATTGATACATTATTGAGTAAAATTGAGTGAAATTTGAGTAAAAATTTTTTATAGTGTATCGAATAATATTGACTACATTTGATAAGATTTTTTGGAAAAAAGTTTTGAAATTAAATATTATTAAAATTGAGTAAAAAAGCTCTGTATATAGCAGAAAAAATACCCAGTTGGGAAAACGCTTGTTCTAACACCAAACTAAACGCGTATATTCGTAATTTGATGTATTTGAAGCGGCCGACGAGGCTCATCTGCTGATATAGCACCGCCGCCGCCGAATTTCCATTTTGGCGGAGATCAAATCGACAGATTGCATGTTTTCGTTCGGATGTAATGCATTTATAATGAAATTATAATGAAAATTGCTGTATCGCTCTCTTTATGAATATAATTGGGGCTGTTTGTTTGTCGAACGTCATTCGCTCTGTCCATCACATTTAGAGTGCGAGTTAATAAGCGACGCGAAGCGGGAGTTGGAGAGGAACTCGCGTGAATATACTCTGCGTTGCACATTTAGGCACCTCCAAGTAAAAGCCGACGTGAAATGCGCTTCAGGATAGTTTATTAAAATTATTTATAAGAAAATATAACGTTTTGGAAAGTACCTATAATGATAGGTACATTAATAAAAAAAATATATATTTGCCTAAGTCGAATAAAGAAAGATGTCAGAATCGATAATATTCCCAGTTTGAAATTAATTTTAGGCTTCAACCTGAAGGTTTTCACTAACACTTAAGGAGGTATATCGGATTTACTCAAAACAAGATGTACTTGAAATTTATATAGCGTATTAGCCCGTGCTTCCTCTGTGCGTCATATTTTTTTGAATTTTTTTTTGAGTCATAGATTTTGAGATATTGTTGTTGAAAGTTGTTCATTTTAACATAGGTTTATATGGCGAAGATGGACGGTGCGGCTCTTTTTTGCCCATAACTGAGAAAAAAATGTAGAAATTGCGAAACAAAGCTTTTCCATATATAGTATACAGTATTATCTTATTTTTAATGTAAAACTAATGTAAGTTTTGAACATAGTACAGCTGTATTAATTAGAAACAGAAACCAATAATTGCATTTCTGTCTGACTTGAGGATTAATGTGGCAACGTCGCAATCAGCTGACAGCAAGGAGGGAATCGGAGGGAATACATTTGAAAGACGATAAAAACGAAATTGATTTCAAACATATACATTTTTCCTAAATCCCATGTACATTGTTATCAACAATAAATTATCCACAACAAAAGATTTTTTGTAATGTTTTTAAAAAACTAGATTAATTAAAAATCCTAGGGTGCTGTGATATATTTATTGGAATAAAAAATACAGTTGATAAATCATTTTAATATATTTAATGGTCTATAAAAACATCGTAATTCGTACCCCTTACATAAAGTTTGCTTTACTTGATTAATATAATTAGTAATACTTGAGATAAAAGCATTTGTACGGAGTAGCAAAGGAACATAAATATTTCACAGCAAACTTTATATCTAAAAAATTAGTTATAGTTGCAAAACTTTTGTAACATTACTCAAATAGAGATTAAAAACACGAACAGTGAGTAATAATGTAATTTCTATCACAGAACCTTCAAAATTGCATCCAACATTTTCTTGGACTTGGACGAGAGATGGGCGCGAGTGTCATTTCATTTCTTTAGAACTAAATTAACATAATTCTCGTTGTTTTACCAGTTCACATGGTTTACGGATTTTAAATAAAGGATACAAATCTTCGCGAGGATAATACGATATATTTGCTATATATAATAATTATATTGTACATAGTTTACATACAATACATTTCTGAACGCGTACGCATCTTTACCCGAATTTGACGCGCAATATCTCCGATGTCCGAGGTCTGTAGGTTCGCAGTGTATACAACTGCAAGTCAATTGTTAGCGCTGTTGCCACATCTACATAGTCTTTATGTGTTTATTAAATATAATTTAAAACTACCTAAATATGATATTTTTATGTTGTTAATTAGTTAATATGTATGCTATGTGCATATGAGTAGATTTCTTTGCTATATAGATAATGTTTATCGCAAATAATTTCAATAGAATTTAATTTTTTCAAATTGGCCGCGGGTTTTGGTCCCATAAGAAAAGCATAGGACACCCCTGCGCTCCTCACTTCCCTCGGACCCCGATATACCTCCTTAAAAGGTAAAACATATTTAATCTTCTCACATAACTCCCATTTTTCGTTTTATTTAACATCGTTACTTATCATTTCACAATACAATCTCCAATCAGTGGCGATAAGTACGAATCCACTTAGATTTCCTTGCCGGAGAGCGGGGCGTACCTTACAAATCCGGATCTCATAAGTTAGAAGAGATATCGGGACTGTGTGGATCCTGGAATAAGCCGGGATCATCGCTAAACTCTGGCCGGTAGCCCGGGGCCATACTCGATCGAGAATGAAGGCTCTCTACATATCTCCCGTCTTGAAATATGAATAGGAAATGAACCAGTTTGCTGTGAATCGTTCTGCATTGATTAAGAGGTCCCTGTTTGATCGTATCGAACAAACTGCTTTTGATACGGAATTGTCTGTCGTTAAAGGTGTTAATCTTAATGTGAACAGG